ATCACTTATTATACCCCAGTATTTAATACAGACTAATAATCAAAGTTTGATAAAAACAATCTTTAGGCATAGCATCTTCAATAAGAAACTTTACAAACTGTAAGCAAACAACCACAAAATCCTTTCCGTTCTCTCATTTTTCCTCAGAATAGGAACATTATGGTGTGGGCATTAATTTTCTTTATAAAACCAGCATAGAAGTACTGTGCACAGTTGAAAAATGCTATATTGATTATACTGAATTAAACATATTTTTGTTGAAGCTTCAGAAACATAATTTCTTGTATAACTGGGGATTACAGCTATTTTGTAAATATGAAAGATGAAAATTTAAGAATTGCCCCTATTTTTTAATATATTTTAGATCAAAAATTTATATTAGTGACCTGCTGAGTCCTTAAATTCATCAGAACATCAACTTCTATTCTTGAACTCCAAACATTAAGCAACAGGGATGGACTGAGGCTTACAACACTTAAAATCAATCTGTGGAGTCTAAAAGAAAAATTCAGAAAAAGACAAAGAATATGGTTTAAAAACTGAAAAACATTTAAAACAATTCACTATAATTAGTAGCAAAATACTCTCTTTTTTAAAAAAAAGTATATCCTATTTATTCCTCAAAAATTACTTAACTTGTATAAGTTTGTTTTCTCTCTTTACAAGCAGTTATTAATTACTTTTTGGATAAATAAAAAGGAGTTCCTAATTCTTTGACATGCAAAAGCAGAGCCTAATGTACACAATAAGTACTCTAGCTGAAAAGAAACTAGGCAGTTTTTTTTCAGTATGGCAGCAAACATAGGGAGCCAACATGTTCAAATCATGAAAAATGTACTTATTTGAAAAGTTTTTTTATGTTCAATCTTCTATTTTAGATTCTCGGACATTAGTAAATTTTCTCTGAGGTCCTATTAGCATGAGTAAACTACAACCAGCTCAGAAGCTAAAATTCCTGTTTAAGTGGGAAGTAAACTTTTATCAAAGTTAAGGGCCGGCCCGGTGGCGCACTGCTATAGTGCGCCGCTTGGGAAGCGCAGCAGCGCTC